TTTAGTAAAATAAAAAAAAACACACCTAAATGGACAACTGTTTGGAAACAGAAGGGAAAACCCATTCCTTGTAAACTGATAAGCTGGATAGTTTCCAGTTCCAGAAACACTAACCAAGGCAAAAAAGAAAAAAGACAAGAAAACATGATAGCGATATAAACGTATTAGAAATATATATGTACTGGAATAATATTTGTATAAGTATATATAGAGTCGTAATTGTTTACTGTTATGACGTATTAACATTTTTTTGTATTTCTTCCACTTTTTTGTTAAAGCACTTTCTATGTTTTTTTTTCCCCCTTTCGAATAATAAAAAAATAAATAAAAAAAAGCAAGGCAAGGGCAAAAGACGGGTATCATCTTGGAGCTCAACTTATTTAAGTCTGCTACAGTTTAAAGCATCAATTATGTCAATAAGAGTACATTCCTAAATATACCTTATTCTTAGTATGTACACCCCACTTAGCTCAATGGGATTTCGGCATATACAGATGTGCAGAACTGTGCTGGTTCAGCTCTTCCGTAAGTTCCATACCATTAGCACATATTTGGGAGGCGCTCTGCTCTGGTATGTGCATAATCACATACCAAGGGACAATTAGGCAGTTGTTGGCATAACAACATGGCCTGTGATGTACACAGCAGTACCTCTCATCATCTCTGTTGGCGCACTAATGGGACACACTGTTCCTATCCCTCTGGCCTTTTTTACTGATACAATAAATGGGAGGGATGGTTGAACGCAGTCCTTCCCTAACCCTATAGAAATAAACTTGGATTGTGGAGTAATAGTTAAGTACTATCATAGGCAAAAGCACTAACAATATACAAGCATCTACCAAACAGAGAAACTAGGGGAAAAAACTCCCTTTCAGCTCCCGAACAATCTATTGTACAGTGTCTTAAGCACAAAAATTGAGAGGCTTTTTACCCGGACCTCTTATTCCTAGAACAGAACAGGTCTCTCTTTTGTGGAAAAGATTTCTCCAAGACTGTTAGCAGTAGTCTCTCTCTGGAGTAACACATTTATAAAATAATCCCGACATTTCCTGTTATTGGCAGGTGATTATTCAGACATTGGCCATGGCAGCCGCTGCCTTAAAAAAAATGTAAACACGTACTGTGACATGGGGCCAGCTCACAGGTTACCACTGGCCAGAAGGAAGCTTGTGCGGGACTTACACCGCAGCGTAATCACCACCGAGCAGTAGAGCTTGCAGACAGCAGGTGGCACTCTATTCCTGTGACCTCTAGAAGGGACAGAGCCAAACGGGTAATATATTCCCTACCCAAAGCGAGGGATGCTCCTCCTTCAGACATGTATCTCACAGCCATCTCTGAACAGACATTAAAATAGCTCTTTCTCTTGCGACCTTGAAATCTGAAGAGCTGCTCCCTCCCCTCCCCCCCCCGCCCCCCCCCCCCCCCCCCCCCCCTC